TGACTGAATGGCAGTGAGTTTTACTTTTGTTGCCCAACCCCCATAAAAAGGAGCTCTGGTGGTGCAATGGTTAAGGCATTTGGTTGCTATCCAAAAGGCCAGCAGTTCAAACCCATCAGCTGCTCCATGGGAGAAAGATGAGGCAGTCTTTTTCCATAAAGATTTAGAGCCTTGGAAATCCTACGGAGCAGTTCTACTCTGTCCTACAGGGTCTCTACGAGTCACAATTGATTCGATGGGAGTGGATTTGGGTGTTTTCTCCTATAATAAGAATAACAAAACCCAAAACCACAGGTATCATTATTCTCATATTCTAGATGTGAAACTGTTTAGTTTAGAGCTTAACCAACTTGCTCCCATTTTAAAAGCTGGCAAGTAGTGAAGCTACTATTCTAACCCAAGTCTGACTGAATCCAAGGAACTTGCTCCCAACACCTTGGTCTTCCTCTAATGAAAATGATCAACCCGCCACGCCTTGGGCCCTTGGGTTCATCAGGTTGGCCAAAAGCATCAAGCAACGAGGCCAAGACTAACAGCTCGAGTTGGATTAGTTGACACCATGTTCCATCCAGGGCCAGGCATGTTAGTTTGTCTGGGGCACGGAGATTCTGCAGAAATACAGTGCTGGGGGAGTAGGGTGCGGTGGGGTGGGGGTTCTCTGTCATTTATTCAATATTTTAGTCCTCTGGGGAAAGAACCATGCTTATTACAAAACCTTTTCCTGGCAGGCAAAGGTATTCTGAAGGTCACCTAGTGTTTGTTTGTTTTTTTTTTATAGGAACAACGAGCTTTCTGTTTATTATAACAATTATTTATTTATAATGCTATATGAATCATCAATTCACGTTATTATTCAACAACATGCGTCAAGCACCTACTTGGGTGAGAGGGGTCCCTGGGTGGTACAAACAGTTACCAAGTTCAGCTGCTTACCAGAAAGTTTGAGATCCAAGTCAACCCAAAGGTACTTCGTAAGAAAGGTGTGGCAATCTACTTCTGAAAAATCAGTCCTTGAGAATCCTATGGACCACAGTTCTATCATGACACACAAGGGACGGCCGTGAGTAAGAGCTGACTGGATGGCAAGTGGTTTTGTTTTGTTTATTTGTTGTGAGTGACAGCGTAGGTAGATCCTTTACATAAAATATCACCTTTAATTTTCACAAGTCTTAGAGGTGTTATTATCTCTATTTCCACGGAAAGAATTGACATTGAAAAAGACAAAATAATTTGAGGTCATTCAAAGAGAAGTCAGATTGGAACCCTTAGCCACACCAGGAAGCCTTCTCAACTACAGAGGGAAAGGGTCCTGCCTCTCATTTCACTAGCCACGAACTACATGGCCCAGCACTTCTCAGTCTGAGCCCTGGGTTTGTAAGCCACTTAGAAGCTGTGCAGTCACAATTACAGCACTGGGAGCTACTCTCCCTTGAGCAGTTAAAATGGACCCCTGCTAGACAATGAGCATAGGTTACAACAGCTAATCTTTGAAACAACTGCACTGTTGTTAATTTCCATTTTTCAGAAGGGGAAAGTAAGGCTTAGTGGTAATAGGTAAAATTTGCTAAGGTTTTCAACTAGTGAAATATAGATCCAAATATGAACCCAGGCATCATGGCTCCAGAGTCTGTATGCTTATTCACCAACCTATGTTCCACCCTTTGGCCAAGGCGGCTGACCCTTGTACGGTTCCATTTTCTTACTTGTAAAGCAAGAATAATATTAACTGCCACCTGAGATTCTTGTGAGGGTTAGGTGAAATAATACTGACTAGCACAGGATCGGGTTAGAATTCGTGCCAATCAAGTGACAAGTGAGCGCAAAGGCACACTGGCAAGGAAAGAGCCCAAGCAGCGGGACCACACACTCTGAACTAAGGAGAACGGAGCTCTGTCCTAAGCTATTCAGCTTGGGTAGCACAGCGGAAAGAGGTGGCTAAGAATGGTCCAAATCACCAAGCCAACCGTAAAAAGGCTGCCAAGAAAAATGCAAAAAGTGGAAGCTACTTCTTTAGGAACACAAATTTAAGTCTCAGTATTAAGGCAATAATAATAACATTAAGTCTTTCCCTGAGCTGAAGCAGCAAAGTCTAGAAAAATGAAGAGCAATAATAATGCTTGTGCATTTACACAGTGAAACAGAAAAGTACCTTCCAAGTAAATGCTACTCCACAAGGCAAAGAAACACCGTAAACCACTTTCACCCTCGCATGGGCTTTCAGTAATTTATTCATAACAAAGAGGGATTTAAGGTGGCTTTCATCAAGTTCATCAAATACAGAAAATTAGTATGAATTGGAAGAAACGAAAAATAAAAAGATGAAAAGGGAAGGGATATAAAACAGCTGGAAGGCTGATATAAAAGGAAATAAAGGAGTACATAATAAAAAGCAGAAATCAATGAAATTGAAAACAGGTAAGCAATAAAGAACAAAACTTCAGTTCTTCATATAACATCAAAAAATTGATAAACTTCTAGTGAGACTGATGAAGATAAAAAGAAAGAAGACACAAATTACCAATGATCAGAAATAAAAGAGGAAATCACAACAGATCTGCAATCATTAAAGGAATCGTGAAGAAATACGTAATGAACAACTTTACTCCCATAAATTCAACAACTTAGAAGGAATGGGCCAATTCCTCAAAGACTTCAAACCACCAAAACTCAGCCAAGATGAAACAGATAATGTGAACAGTCCTATAACTAGTAAACTATTAATTATTAGCAAATTGAATTTGTAATTAAAAAGCTTCGCCAAATGACATATCCAGTCATTTTCACTGAAGAGTTTAGCAAACATTCAAAAAAGAATTAACACCAACTTAATACACTCTCTACCAGAAAAACAGAAGAATAAGGAACATATCCCAACTCATTTGATGAGGCCACTGTTATCATAATACTCAAACCAGGAAACACACACACACAAAAAAAAAAAAAAAACATCCACTTATAGATCAGTATCTCTCATGAACTTAGACAAAAAAATCCTCAACAAAATTTTAGAAAATTGAATCCAACAATATAAATATAAATATAAATATATACACATATCCACACATTCCTCACTTACAGGCATGGTTAGGTCCCAAAGACCAGGTCATTAGGCAAAATCAGTGTTAATGCAAGAGTCAGGAGCCATGCCCTGTCTTTGGTGCCAATGTCTCCCACTCCCCATCATTGCTCACTACCAGTCAGGTGCCCCTGGCACATCTTGGGATACATACGGGCACCTGACCCACACCCACGCCTTCTCCACCACGTGGAGCCACAGGGGGTGAGGTTGGTTGGGGGTTGCCTGCTGCTACTGCCTCCCACCACCTGCCCTGGGTGGGTACCCTGCTTGTCCTCTACTGCCACCTCCTACTGCCTACCCTGGGTGGGTACCCTGCTCATCCTCCATATCTCGCCTGACCTGGGACCAGACACCATTCTTCCTCTGTCCACTCTGTCCCATCAGCCCCACGCTTCACCACCTTCCCTCACCCTCCTCCTTCCCACCTCCCCCCACCAATCTACCTGTCACCTTTGTGCCCTCACCCTACCTGCCTGCAACCTCATGTCATACTGTCATCACCCTCCACTCTGTGGCTGCAACAATATGTCACAGATAAATGGGAGAAGATGTCTTGCAGCCAGTTGACTGCTATCACTCCCATGGCCCAATCGTTATCATTCAGGGTGGCCTACGGAGTGCCTCCAGGTCCCTACCATGGCTCTACATGGGCCCAGGCCAAAAGAGGTACCACTAATGATTTTTTTTCACAGTTCTCATAAATGTGAAATGTCAGATAATGGGACAGTCGCTAAGTGTATACCACAACAACGTGGGATTTATTTTAGGTATGCAAAGCTAGGTTGTTATTACATCAACCAATGTAATCTACCATATCAACAGGATAAAGAAGAAAAAATATTATGATTTTATCAATTGATGCAGAAAAGCATTTGACAAAATTCAACACCCGTACCGGATCAAAACTCTCAGGACATTAGGAATAGACAGGGATTCTTCAGCCTTACACGACATCCACAAAAAACCTCTAACTAACATCATATGAGTCAGCTTGACAGCAGCTGGTTAAGGTTTTAGTTTAACATCATACTTAGTGATGAAAGCCTGGATGCTTTCCTACTATGATGGGCATAAGGCAAGGATGCCTGCTCTCACCAATAGTATTTAACATAATAATGGATATATCAACCATTACAGTAAGGCAAGAAAAAAAATTAAAGAAATACAGATTGAAAAGGAAGAAATAAAACCGGGTCTATTTGCCGATGGCCTGTCTGTGTAGAAAACTCCAAGTCATCTATAAAAATCTCTGCAGAATGACTTCAGGACATTCGCAGAAGCAGCCTTCCACTCAGCACTGTCTTACAGATTCCTTAGTGCATATAGCTGCATAGAATGCAATGGCCAGTGGCCTCAGCAATGTCTTACAACAGACATGATCACTATTACTAGTACTTTCTCTAAGATGGATGATGGAAATCTTTACACAGACAGGCACTTGTGCAGAGACTCTAGCACCATTGGGATGGCATCTCGTTGGACCCTCTATGACTCTCTAGTACCTCTATTGTGATCTGTTTCCCAGAATTTCCATTCCTCCTATGCAGGTGCTCTGGTGAATGGTCGCACCTCCAGCTGGACAGGAAGCACTCACCTCTCCCCACAGAAAGACAGGAAACAAGAGGGAGGCTCACGGAGAGTGTGTCCTGCCTCATCAGGACTGGAACTCAATTGGGGATTTGAGCCAAAGCCTCAGCTGTAAAGAAGGTTTCCTGGACCTCATTTTGCTCTCTGTTTATACAGCTCTCAAGGGCAGGATGTAAGAGCCAGAATGCTGGGTCCTCACCACATACCACCTTCCCGTGTCAACCCAAGTGTCACAGTATTGGCTTTCATGGGGATTTTCTTGTTTGCTCAAATCTACAGGGCAAAGGCAAGAGAGTGTACACCCTGGAACTATCTGGAGTCACATAGGACACCATGTGCTAAGTGCATTGTGACACTCATTTCTCACCCAACCATTAATTTGCAACACTGAATCTAAAGTTACCCATTCAATAGAAACTGACTGAGAGATTACTGCAGGTCTCAAAACACCAAGCGAATGGCTTCTGGCCCATCAAGGGCTCTCCTAACAGCTATTTTGAAAGGCAGGGCATTGCTCAGCAATTGGAAAATGAACCCTCCTTCCCTGGACATCTGTAAGGTACAAGTGTTTGAATAAAAATGATGATCTTGACAACTTACGTGGAACTGGTCTGAGGTTGTTCAAATGCTTCTTTTGGGATCTTAAGGCCAGGGTTTCGCCTCTTGCCTACGGAGAGAGATGCAAGGGAAAAAGTGAAGATCTACATCACAGCAGGGGAGGAGGCCAAAGACTGCAGCAGAGGGACAGGGCTGGTCTGGGTCTGAAGCTCTTAGCTCCCCATTCAGAACTCCACTTCCTGCCCAGGGAGCCTGTGAGTGACAGCACCCACGCGCCAGGCACAGGAGAGCTTCCAATGCAGACCGGAGTCAATGATGAGGACGTTGGCCAGTCCAAGTGCCACAACACCCACTCTCTTCTCCTGGGAAGACCTGCCCTGTTCTCCCTGAAGAGTTTGTCCCCCTTTCTTTGTTTACTTCTTTTACACAATGGTGGTGGTGGTGTATGTTGGTGGTGATATTTATTTACATAGCTTCTCTTTTCAATGTCAATAAAATGTTTGCTGTTAGTTGCCATAGAGTTGCTTCCAACTCACAGCAGCCTTATGTACAAGAGAATGAAAGGCTGCTTGGTCCTGTCCCATCTTCATGGTCAATGGTTAGGTCTGAGTCCACTATGTGGTCACTATGTATTTTCAGTGCCTTCTAACCTAGGGGCCTCATCTGCCAGCACTGTACTGGACAATATTCTATTGAGATCCATACGGTTTTCATTGCCTAATTTTCAGAAGCATATCACCAGACTTTTCTTCCCAGTCTGTCTTAGTCTGGAAGTTCTGCTGGAATCTGTCCATCATGGGTGACACTGTTAACATTTGAAAGATTGGTGGCATGATTTCCAGCATCATAACACACAAGCTCCTACAGTACAACAAACTGGCAGACAGAAGATGCCAATCAAATGTAGTTTCCCTTATCACACTGTTGTCACAATTTTTTCAACTGGTCTGTGAACAACTGTAGAGTTAATCATGATGGCAAAAGAAAACTCTTCTGCATTGTCCTGCCCTCGCCACCTCTGTAAGCTGACAAACCTCAGAGGATACCAAAGGAAACCCCATTGCTGTCAAGCGGATTCTCTGACTCATAGCAATTCTATAGGACAGAGCAGCACTGCCCTATAGGATTTCCAAGGCTGTAATCTTTACAGAAAAAGATTGCCACATCTTTCTCCTGCAGAGTAACTGGTATGTTCGAACCACCAATCTTCTGGTTAGAAGTCATGTGCTTAACCACTATGCCACCAGAGTTCCTTCACAGAAGGATAAGTTAATATTTATTTACAGTTTCCCTGTTCCAAAAAGGATTAAAATAACAGATGGGCTCATATAAAGAGGTTATCATTTCTTTGTCAGCCAGATGGGAACATAGCCCTGATGTGCTCATCCCTGGGCTGAAACCACAAGAGGGCTTAGCTCAGTAATACTTTTGTTGACAAGCAACAACAGAACAGACTGAGAAAGGCCAGCTCAGGAAACAGATCAAAGGAAACAATCTTGTGGGGTCCAAGATTCTCCACATCAGCAGAGGCTTTATATCTCTCCATGCTTGGCTACACCCAAAAAAACCAAACCCACTGCCATCAAGTTGAAGCTGATTCATAGTGACCCTATAGAGAGAAGAAGTGCCCCACAGAATTTCCAGGGAACACTTAACCACTGTGCCGTCGAGCCACGGTGCCACCTTCTCTGTCAACTCGTGTCTACGCTGCAGGTGAGCATTTCAGAGCAGACGCTAGCCCTGGTTAAGGGCCTGAGAGAGATTCAGAAGCAGGTAAGAAACTTCAGAAATCAAACCGTCTAACCTCCTGCAGGAAAGCCCATCCAAAGACTGCAGTGGCTTGCTCCACATCACGGAGCACTGGCCCATCAGAACCAGAATCCAGGTCTCCTGACGTCCAGGCTGGAGCTTTTCCACCATTCCACCAACTGAGATGTTTAAAGTTGAGCAGAGAGGAGGGGAGCACCGGACTGTGAGCCTAAAAAGGGAGCTTACACATGAGTTCTTCCACTCACCAGGGGACCTCTAGAGTCACTTTTCCTCTGACTTTGTTTCTTCAAGTGTAACATGGGGATGGAACATCACCTCATCAGACTGATGGAAAAATCAGATGAGAGAATGCATGTGAACGGCCCTGACTTATTAAGGAGCTATTCATTATACTCAGGCGGAAAAATAACCTGTAAGCTTCACTGAAAAAATCAGTAAGTCATTTAGGAAATTCATGGACAGGATTGATCGTATTAGTCTGGCCCACTATAATGTATGG